TCCTCCTCCTCCTCGTTTCCTTCCTCCTGCTTATCCGCCATCTCTCTAATTTCTTCCCTCCCCCATCTCCTCCTCCTGCTCCTCCCTTCCACTTCGTTATTCATCATCCACATCTTTTTTTCATCGTCATAATCACCACCACCACCACCACCACCACCATCAGCATGATCATCCTCATCCTCATCCTCATCCTCATCCTCATCCTCATCATCATCATCATCATCATCTCCATCATCATCACCACCACCATCACCATCATCATCATCATCGCTCAGTCAGTGAGTCATTCAGTCACCGCAAGAGCTCTCTTGATCAGTTCCGTCAGCCTCAGAAAACTTCGCAACAGCACGAGAGATGACAATTTCTGAAAGGAACAAGTGACATGTTAGACAAACTCGTCAATAAGAAGCTCTCAGTCACTGACCTTCCACTGCTTCATCACTGTCATCTTGTACTTGTACCGCAATCTTGCCTGTTTGATCACCTCAGAACACCTGGCACAGTGACAACAACGACCAATGCAGCAGCAATGACAACAATAAAGAGGAGAAGCAGGAGGAGGAAGAGGAGGAAGAGGAGGCTGAAAGAGGAGGAGGAGGAGGAGGAGGAGAGAGGAGGAGAGAGGAGAAGGACAAGGAGAAAAAGGAGGAGGAAGCTGGAGATGACGATCATGTGCAGCATCAACACACTTTGATCCCGCGGAATCGTCCTTGGATTCTGAGAGCAGCCTGACATGTTTTGTCAACAAGCAAGGGATAAGAAGAAGAGAAAGACATTCACCTTCATGTGCGGCCAAGTGTAACCCATGTCGAACTCTTGCTTGAGGTGCTTGACCTGTAGGGAGGTTGACATGAAGGAGAGAGAAGAGGAAGAAGAGACCTTCTTTCTTGCAACAAAACCTCGATAGAGCGATTGAATCTTGCAGAGGCTGTGCTTGAATTTCTGAAGGTGTTGAGTGGTGAGGATTCAGGTAAGAAAGGGAGAGAGGAGAGGAGAGGAGAGAAGAGGAGAGGAGAGGAGAGGAGT